CTGCCCTGCCCTGCCCGCGCTGCGCTGCGCTGCCTCCCACGTGCTGCCCGAGCCGGGCTAAGGGGCAGCAGCAGCAGCAGCAGCAGCCTGGGACTTGCTTGCAGCCCGCGAGGCACAGGGGTCCCCGCTGGGGATGCGCTGTCCCTGGGAAAGCCCGGCAGGCAGGGAGGGAGGGAGGGAGGGAGGCTTCAGGACTGATCCTGCCTCAGGCAGGGCGTGGGTCCCCGCTAGCCTTGGGGGGTCTGCCCCTTTCTTCCCGCCCTTGGCACTCTGCAGTCAAAGAAACCCCCTTGCCAGCGCCGCGCCTCTCATCTGACACGTGTCTCAAGGCGTGAGAGGAGGATCCCTGCCTGGGGATCCTCCTGGCACATCCCTTCCTCGGACTCCTTCTGCTTCCCTCTGCTCTGGCAGCTTCATCCCAGCACCTTATCTCAGGGGTGGCATCTGTTTAGTAACTCAGTTCCGACTCCTTCTCTTCTCCGCAAACTTGGATTCACTTCTTTTTTTAAAGTCCCATATTTAATCCCTCCCCTCGAGTTGCTCGCTGCTTCATTTTGTCAGCCTCGCATCTCGAGCCCACTAGTTTTATGCTTCTCCTGGAGAAGAAGGGCTGGAAGGGACCTTCAGAGGTCACCTAACCCTTGTTTCTAACCCTTTCTGCTCTCCAGCGTTTAGGATTGAAATGTTCAGTTTCACATATTTTAACTAAAGAAAAAGAAAACACAACTAGTCTAACAGTCTACAAAGGAGTGTAAGGAGACTCATGAGGACAAGCAGACTGAAGGAATTTGGATCATTTCGAACACCAAATTGAAAACATGAATTAATCGAAAGGCTGAACCAACCAGGGACCAAACCAAAGGATATGAGAAGCAAAGAGGGAAAAGACTGAAGCCAATAAAAAAGGTGAAATGTCATAGCAATGCAAAAAACCCAAACCAAAACAAAACCCCCCAAACAAACAAACAGCAAAATTCTGGAAAATATGCCACTTCCCAATTAGAGATGATGTCTAACATTGTTTAGAATGGAAGGACATAAAAAGAAGACGAGATTCCTCACCTTTAAGTATATGTATATACTATGTAAATACACACTATTTATATATCTTAACTATTACATTAAAAAAAATGGAATATAGCAACTTTTGATTAATGCTTACCTGGTAGGGAGATGAACACATCCTATCTTACTACCAAGCCTTTGAAAGCTCCAGTCTCTTAACAATCCTCACAATTACGGTTTGTGAAAAGAGAGCCACTTTTTGTTATTTCTCAAGCATATGTAATAAAGTCAAAATAATTTATTTGAGAAAACGAGGAACATATGCAGACTTCAAATGCTGAGCATTTACAACATAATTGCAGCTTTTCAAGGAAATTTTGTATTGAAAAAGTCTAGGGTTCCCAAAGGGAATTTCATTCCCACATACTGATAATTTAAAAATGATGTTTTCCAGTTCTAAGTGTCAGCAGCTTGTCCCGATTGCCCAACTTCAGCTAAAATATATATTAAATACATTGATGTCTAACTTTTTTTTTAACTATGCCCCTTTATAATGCATATTAAAACATGCAAATTCATCTAATTCCCTTGGTTACTTAGAGAAAAATACTCTCTAGGCTTGGAAATACATTTAGAGCTAAAGGGGCATAGCTCACTGGCCAGAACTGAGAGTGGGAACCAGACAATCTTGGGCTGGGGGGAGGTGTTATTTCAGCTTTAGCCATGGAGTTCGTATATGACTTTGGCTAAGTTATTTTACCTGTTTACCCTATTATCCCATTAAAGAGAGGGCTGTATCTGTGTGCATGTTAGGGGCAAAACGGGATCAGTCGAGATGGAATGATAGCATAAGGCCTTAAGAGAGAAATGTGCATAGTCTATTATTTCACTAACATTTTATTTCTTGAGAGCAAAATGGTTGGGGTGGTTTCAGTTCTGTGAAATCCATATTGTTGGTGGGAGGTTATCCTTGGGATGCACAGCCCTTCTGTTTCTTCTTGCATTAGGATGCTGAGGGGCCGACTGACACTGACTATAATACGGTTGTCCTGTCTTTTGAAATCAGTGTCTCCTTCTGCTGTTGAATGGTAACAAATGTCCTGGAAGTTGGATGTTGCCTTCCCAGTAGAGGAGAAATCAGTGATGCCAAATCTGGATGCATTTGAAGTGTAACTTGTTTTACACATGTGCAGCAGTCCTGAAACACAGAGGATCAAACAGTATGCAGGGCAATCTTCTTTTCCAGGAATGTCCATCTCCCAGAGAGCAAATCTGTTTTAATAATTTAG